CTACAGCATGCTGTTAACAGTGACAGCCTTTCGTGTGGCAGATGGTAGGAGATGGTAAGGAGATTTCACTTCAGAAGCCATATAGTTCTACTCTATCCTTTCAAAAACTAAGTATACTATAAACAGTGTACTATTTGACCAGTAGTTTGCAGTTTTAATTATTCTGGTAATTGAGGGCTTTTAAGGCAACTGTAGACATTTTAATCCGAATCTTGAAAGAATTGCTGTTACATTCTAAATAAAGTTGACCCACAAAAATTAAAGTCAAATACTCGTAGCACTTGACTAGGTGTCAGGATATTTAGGTGCTAGTTTTGGTTCTCTCTCTCTCAGCCTTAGTTTTCTTATCTGTGAAATGAGAACACTATTTCCACCAAGTGTGGCAACCTGTAGATACATGTTTTCGTTATTTTGTATTTTTCCTAAAGAGTCTAGTACCACAAGTGGTAAGAAAATGGAAGGAAAGAAAGAATTTTGGTCAAGTCATATTAACAATGTATATGTTAAAGGCATCAATTAGGTCAGGAGTGGCATTTAGCATTAATATTTTATCTGTTTCTTTTATATTTGATGCTGCTAACCATTCTAGAATTTGGGATGTGATCATAATGGTAAAGGGTAAATTTTTAAAATAGCCCCAATAAATTTACTTAAAAACCATTGTCAAATGATTTCAAAATGCTCAAAACAAGTAAGGAGTTTAACCCTTTCAGGAAGCAAGATTATGTCTAATTAAGAAGGAACTGTCTTGAATGAGTGAATTAAAACCTGAGAAAACAGGCACAGTAACATATGTGACCCTTTTAAGTTAGTGATTACAAAGGGCCTTTAATAAATGAGTAAGGGGGGTACTTCAAAGGCTAGTGTTGGGAAAGAAACTTTAGGCTGGGAGAAACTTAAGAGCTGCTCAGAGCTATTTAATAGCAGATCTGTATGAGGAAGATAGTAGCTGATATCCAGTGGAGCTAAAATCTGAAAATTGCCCACATCAACTTTTAAACAGAAGGAAAAGATGACTGTTTTGGCAGTTAGCATGGTTAAGTTATTAATAAAGTACTTTACTTTACTTACTGTTTTTCACATGTGGAGTTACTCTCCATATCATGTATTGCCCTGAGAGAGCTACTTGAGTGGAAAAGCCTCCTTAGGGTTTGACTCATAATTTAAACCCTTCAGGTGACAGTGACTTACCTTTGCTTTTTACCTACACAGATGAAAATATTTTATGTAGCAGGCTTTATAATATTCAGTTCCATCTGTTAAAAATATTGTATCATACTGTGCTCCGATTTGAAAATGGAAAGATTAATTTTGTTTTAATAATAGAAACGTGATGCTGAAATAGCCAAAACTATGATGGAAGAACATGAGAGGTTAATAAAGGAAGAGAATGCTGCAGAGGACAAACGAAACAAAGTAAAAGCACAGTATAATCTTGACTTAGAGAAACAACTTGAAGAACAAGAAAAGAAAAAGCAGGAAGCTTATGAGCAGTTGCTGAAAGAGAAACTCATGATTGATGAAATTGTTAGGAAAATCTACGAAGAAGATCAATTGTAAGTTTATCCCGACTTTCTTACATGCCTAAATGTTTATATTAGCTTTATCTCAGGCTTGTTGTGAGGAGTAAATCACCTAGTCAGTGCCTAATACCTAGTTAAGTCCTCAGGAAATGTTATCACATAAACTGAGACCAACTCTTATTTATCTTTGTTAGCATGATAATTGATAATTAATAAATACTTATTGACAGTGACTAAACCTTTGTTTTTCTTAAATATGCCCATATCATATGTCAGAGGACTTGTTTTATGTCGTTTCCTTGGTAGACAGCTAAAGTGTAGAATGGTAGAAGGCTTATATAAATGGGTTGTGGTCTTTCTGAAATAAAACTTCAGTATAGGTTAGAGAAGAAACATTGTAGTAATTTACTCAGAAAATTCTTACGTGTCTGTATTTAGTGGCACATAGTAGACACTCAGAATGTTCGCTGCATGCATGAATGAACAAACTGTAAATTTTCTCCACATTATTATCAACTGAAAGAAAAGGCACATTTTTTGGATATTTTATTATCTCTGTTACTATAAAAATGCACTCACTGTTACTTATTAGGGAAAGACAACATAAGTTAGAAAAAATGAATACAACTCGAAGATATATAGAAGAGTTTAAGAAAGAGCAGGCCCTCTGGAGAAAAAAGAAACGTGAGGAGATGGAAGAAGAAAACAGAAAAATCATAGAGTTTGCCAAGATGCAGGAACAAAGAGAAGAAGATCGGATGGCAAAAGTTCAAGAAAATGAAGAAAAAAGGCAACAGCTTCAGAATATGGTAGTAAAATAACCATTTTTTTAAACATTGGAGAAATTCTGTAATATTTGTTATAGAATGTGATTCCTATACATGTTTGTGTGTTTTTTAATTTAATAGCTGACTCAGAGATTGGAAGAAACTCTGCGGCAACGTGAAGATTTAGAACAAGTGCGACAGGAATTGTACCAGGAAGAACAAGCTGAAATACATAAAAAGAAACTAGAAGTAAGTTCTGGAAATTGAAAGAATGATTTAAAAAGATGAGTATTATTCTGAGATGAAGTAGTAGAAAGATATTAGATTTAAACCCAACTGTGTTGATAATTACATTATATGTAAGTAGTATGAACACAACAATCAAATTTTCCGGCTGGATAAAAAAGCTAGATCCAGGCAGCAGTTCACACACTGCATCAAAAGCATGATGCAACTGTGTTGTCTACGAGAAACATAATTGTAATATGAAGACACATGTAGTTTAAAAGCAAGAGTATAAAGATAAACCATACAGACACTCATCAAAAAGGAAGTTAGAGTAGAAATCATGATCATAACAGGCTAAATTCATCTAGACGCTGTTAATAGCCCTAAAGGTGTATGAACCTAAATAAGACTTCAAAATACAGGAAGCAAAACTGATAAAACTTGAAGGAGAAATAAACAAATCCATATTTATAATTGAAGACTTCAGTACTCCTTGTTAATACATAGACTGAGTAGTCAGAAAACCACGGGATGTGGTATTAAACAGTAGTATCAACAAAGCTGACTTCAAGTCAAGACGATTTGTCAGTTTTTTAATTGGATGTTTTTTGTTCAATTATTGTACAATTTTGATAGTTCTTAATGTAGTCTAGATAACAGCCCTATGTCAGGTGTGTGATTTACAAATATTTTCTCCTAGTCTGTAGCTTGTCTTTGCATTCTCTTTACAAGGTCTTTCTCCAAGCAAATGTTTTCAAATTTCTATTAAGTCCAGTTTATCAATTTCTGTTTTTATAGACTGTACTTTCAGTATCAACTCTAGGAAGCCTTTGCTTAGATCCTGAAGAACTTCACCTTTTTTTTTTCTCCCCTAAATGGTTTTATTTTCTGTTAATTTTTTGTTTATATGGTATGAGACTTAGGTAAAGCTTCCATGTTTTCTTGTGTGTGTCCAGTTGCTCCACACCATTTGTTGGAAGGTTATCTCTCTTTCACTGAATGGCTTTTTGCACCTTTGTTTAAAAAACACAGTTGAGCATATTTGTACGGGCCTATTCCTGGGATCTCTGTTTTATCTGTTTATCTATGTGACTGTGTCTCTCCACCAATACCACAGTTTTGATTACTGTAGCTATATATAGTCTTGAAAATTGTTTTAGTTACTCTACTTCCTTGGCCTTTCTGTATAAAGTTAGAATCATCGTATCTCTGTCTACAAATAGTCTTCTAAGGATTTGACAGGAATTAGATTAAATCTGACTATCAATTTGGAGACAGTTGACATGTTCACTATATTGAGTCTTCTAGTCCATGAACATGGTTTGATTATCCATTTACAGTTGACCTTTGAACAACACAGGTTTGAACTGAGTGGGTCCACTTACATTCAAATATTTTTCAGTAGTAACTACTACAGTACTACTACACGGTTCGTGGCTTGTTCAGTCTGCTCATGTGGAGGAATGGGTTATCGAGGGCCGACTGTATACTGTTTGCAGATTAACCCCTATGTTGTTCAAGGGTCAGCTCTATTTAGATGATCTTTGAATTTTTTCATGTGTTTACAGTTTTCAGCATACAAATTCTGTACGTGTTTGTTAGATTTGCATGTGTTTCAGTTTTTTGAGTGATTGTAAATTGAATTTAAGTTTTAATTTCAGTGTCCACATACTTGTTGCTAATGAATTGAGTTTTTAATACTTACCTTGTACCTCATGACCTTGTTGAATTCACTTAGTAGCTGTAGGTGTTGGTTTGTTTTTCCATACATAGTCATGTCTTCTGCAAATAGGGACTGTTTTACTTCTTGCTTTCTTATGTGTACACCTTTTATTTACTTTTTTTGTTTATTGGACTGGGTAAAACTCCCAGCACTGGCTAGCACTGTGTTGAATAAGAGTGATGAGAGTAGACATCAACTTTCTTTGTTATGTATCAGGGAAAAGTGTTCTGTTAATTGTTGATTTTTTGGTAGATATTCTTTATTAAGTTGAAGACGTTCTCTTTGCTGTTTTCTGAAGATTTTTATCATGAAAGGCTGTTGAATATATCCTCATATGCTTTTCCTACATCTATTCCTACATCTATTCATCATATGCTTTTTCTTCTTTAGCCTAGTGGATCCCATTGATTGATTTTGGTGGGTACTGAACCACCTGCATCACTGGAATAAACCCCACTTGGTCATGGTGTATGTGTCTTTTAATATGTGGCTGGATTTTATTTTTCTAATATTGTGTTAAGGATTTTTGCATCCATATTCATAAGGAATATGGGTTTTTAGTTTTTGCTTGTTTATACTGGTGTCAGGGTAATATTTTCTTCATAAAATGAATAGGGAAGTACTTCTTCCTCTCCTGTTTTATGGAAGAGATTGTTTAGAATTGGTGTTAATTCTTTAAATATTTGATAGAATTTTCCAGTGAAGCCATCTTGGTTTGGAGCTTTATTTTTTTTGAGAGTTTTAAAATATTAATTTAATATTTTTAATAGTTACTTAATAGAGCTATTCAAATTATCTTATTTCATATTTGGTGAGTTTTGGTGGCTTGAGTTTCTCAAGGAAGGGATCTTTTTTGTCTAAGCTGTCAAACTTAGGTGTGTGTAGAATTGTTTGTACTATACCTTTAATTCTTTTAAGGTCTGCAGAGTCTCTAGTGCTATCCCATGTTTCATTCCTGATAATGGTAGTTTGTTTATTTGGTCACTCTTGCATTAGGTTATTTGTTATAATTTTTTTTTATTTCAGCTTTCTTGAGGTATAATTGACATATAAAGTGGTAAGATATTTAAAGTGTACATAATGGTGATTTGATAAATGTTTGCATTGTGAAAAGATTACCCCATCTAGTCAACACATCTGTCACCTCATATATTTATCTTTTTTTGTGAGAATATTTAAATTCTACTCTGCAAATTTCAGAGTGTTATCAACTGTAGTTACCATGTTTTACATAAATCTTCAGACCTTATTCATCTTAGAGCTGTAAATTTGTACTGTTTTACCAACCTCTTCCTATTTCTCCCATCTCCCAAGCCTCTGGCAACCACTTTTCAACTGTTTCAATGAATTTGACATGTTTTTTTCCATTTTGGATTCCACACCTAAGTGTTAGCATGTAATATTTGTCTTTTTGTCCAGCTCATTTCACTTAGCATGATACCCTCAAGTTCCATTTCATGTTGTCACAGACGGTAGGATTTCCTTTTTTATGGCTGAATATTCCACATTTGCTTTAACCATTTCATCTGTTGATGGACAATTAGGTTGTTTCCATATTTTAGCTATTGTAAATAGTGCTGCAATGAACATGGGAGTGCCGATATCTCATTAAGATCTATTTTCATTTCTTTTGGATACATACCCAGAAGTGGGATTGCTGGATCATATGGTAGTTCTATCTTTTAAGTTTTTGAGGAACATCCATACTGTTTTCCATAGTGGCTGCACCAATTTACATGCCCACCAGCAGTGACAGGGATTCCCTTTTACCACATCCTCACAACTCAACACTTACTATCTCTTGTTTTTTTGATGATAGCTATTCTGGTATCTCATAGTTGTTTTGATTTGCATTTCCTTCATATTTAGTGATGTTGAGCACCCTTCATGGACCTGTTGGCCATCTGTGTATCTTCGCTGGAAAAAAAGTCTGTTAGATTTTTTAATTAGAGTTTTTGGTTCTTTTCTATTGAGTTTTATGACTTCTTTATATATTTTGGACATTAACCCCTCATTAACATTAACTCAGAGGTAGTATTCGCAAATGTTTTCTTGCATTCCATATGTTTCCTTTGCTCTGATGAAACTTTCCAGTTTGATGTAATCTCACCTGTTTATTTTTGCTTTTGGTGTCAAATTGAAAAAAATTATTGCCAAGACTGAAGTAGAGGAGCTTACCGTTTTCTTCTTGGAGTATTACGGTTTCAGTTTCACGGATTTTTTAAAAAAAGAGCCAGCCTTTTGTTTCATTGATACTGTCCATTGGTTTTCTGTTTTCAGTTCCATTGGTTTCTGCTCTTTCTTTCTGATTCCTTTTTATGAGTTCTTAAGGTATAGGAAGCATAGATTGTTGATTTGGGACATTTCCTACATGCATGCACTTATTGCTATAAATGCATTTTACTAAATGTATGCACTTGGCAGTATAAATTTCCCTCAAAACTCTTTTAGTTGTGTCTCACAAGTTTTGATGTCTTGTTTTACATTTTTATTAACGCCAATGTATCTATTTTCTTGAGACTTTCTCTTTTGTTATTTAGTCCCCAAATGTCTAGGAATCATCCTGTTTTTAAAAAATTATTCATTTCTAGTTTGATTCCATTGTGATCAGAGAACACACTCAATATGATTCCATTTCCTTTAAATTTGTTTTGTGAGCCCTTAAAAAGAATATGTATCCTGCCATTTTGGGTGAAATGGTCTATAAACATCAATTAGATCCTATTGGTTGTTGGTGGTGGTGAGTTATTTATCCTTGCTGATTTTCTGTCTAGTTGCTCTGTCAGTTGTTGAAAGAGGATTATTGATGTCTAACTGTGGATTGTGTATTTCTCCAACAAATTTTTTAAATCGAGGTAAAATTCATGTAACAAAATTTACTACTTGAACTATTTAAAAAAAAAAAAGCCTTTGGTACATTCCCAGTGTTGTGCAGCCATCATCTCTGTCTAGTTCCAAAGCATCTTCTTTACCCCAAAAGGATACCTTGCATTGAGCAGTCACTCCCCATTCTGTACTCTTCCAGCCCTGGGCAACTACTAGTCTGCGTTCTGTCTTTATGAATTTGGCTGTTCTGGATGTATCATATAAATGGGATCTTACAATATGTGGTCTTTTGTGTTGGGATTTTTTCCCCTTAGAATAGTATTTTGGAGAGTCATCCATTTTTGTAGCATGTATCCCGTATCAGTAATTCATTCCTTTTTTGGCTGAATAATACTGGATATATGACATTTTGTTTATACATTCAATACTTGATGAATATTTGGTTTGCTTCCACCTTTTTTTTTTGGACTGTTGTGAATGTTGCTGCTATTATGTACATTTGTATACAAGTTTTTGTTTGAATATCTTTTTCAAATTCTTTAGGGTATATACCTAGGAGTGGTGTTGCTGGGTCACATGGTACTTCTGTGTTTAACTTTTTGAGGAACTCCCAACTGTTTTCCACAAAGGCTGCACCATTTTACATTCCTAAAACCAACACAGGAGGATTCCAGCTTCTCCACATCCTTGCCAACACTTGTTATATTCTGCCATGTTACTACAGAAAAATGAACTCAGAATTAGTAAGACATAAAAAAGGCTGAAGCCACAGAATTTCTAGAAGAAAACATAGAAGGTTGTTATGAACTTGCAAGTGGCAAAGACTTTTTCTAGAAGGATAAAAAAGGCATGAGTCTTAAAAGAAAAAGTTTATAAATTGGGCTTCATCAAAATTAAATTCCTAGCATTTTTAGGAAAATGAAAATGCAAGTCAAAGCCTGGGAGAAAATTTTCCCTATACATGTATCTTACAGATTACTTCTATCCAGAATATGTAAAGAACACTTGTAACTTGATAATAGAATATAAAGAACCCAGGTTTTTTTTTAAATGAGCAAAAAGTTTGAACACTTAATAAAGCAAGCTGTATGACTAGCCAGATACACAATAAATTGCAGCTATTGGTATTATTTTTAATATTTTCAGCTATATAAAAATAAAACATTATTTTAGATACACCGTTTCATCAATGAGGAGAAAACAGATACCATGTATAGTATCAAAACTTATTTTATCTAAATCCTTGCTGATTAACTGCGTGTAAGAATGTAAAATGTGTATAGTTCTTTTTAAAAACATTTCAAGGTAATCTGCTTATATATACCTAATGTCAACCCCAAAAGCATTAAGAGTAAAATGAGTGAAGGTATAACAGACATATGAACAAATGGGAAGCAGGTAGGCAGGGTTATTGCTGGATAAGTGGAACATCAAATGAATCCAGGATATCACAGATAAAAGGTATAATCACTAAGGGAGGTTTAGCAAAATGAACATTTAATCTTCCATGTAACATTGCATTGATGTATATAACTTTAAAAGCTGTTAGATCGCCAGAGAAAATTTACTGGACTAAAACAAGGGGAAAAGGGTATTTAAACGTTACTAGAAATTAAGAACAAATATTTTAACTAACTGAAAACCTAAAAACATTCAGTTTCCTGTTGAAGAGCATATTTGCAGACAATTTAGAGGTGAGATTATGACATCAAAATCTATCAGGCAGTTAATTATTAAATGAGAACTAACGGAAAAATTATCTAGGCAGTCAACTCATTACTGAGAAAAACAATATAAATTCAAGTATGAGGTAAGAATATGGAAGGAAATAAGGATACAAGTAGAAGTAAACTAAATCAGGAGAACACATTAGCATTTATTAACCTAGTTGCTTAATACTAGGGGGAAAGATTTTACTCTGGAAGAACACAATAAAAAAGAAAAAAAATGCTTTTAATGGAGGTACTGGGGATTAAACCCAGGACCTCCTGCATGCTAAGCATGTGCTCTACCAGTGAGCCAGTAAAAACAAAATTTGAAGGAATAAAGGGTCTAAAAGAAGATTAGAAAAATAGTGAAAGGTTATTCACTTGTATACTAATGAAATGAAAACCTCAATGGCACAGGTGTCTGAGTTAAAAATACACTGATTTCAAAAGATGTAGAAAAACTAGACAAAATAAGATTATTAAGGATATCTCCACTATCAGAAGACTCTTGTGCCCTGCCCACGGCCTTCTAGCCTCACCTCTGATTTCAGGGACAGCTGTGGGGAACCTTTGTGACAGCTTAGACTCACTCTTTGCTGCCAGCTTCCTAAGGTGTGGAGGTGTGGATTGGGGAGGGAAGTAACACCCCTGGGGCATTCCTCAACCAGTAGTGGACAGAAATTGAGAGAGATGCTTCTCCGCCTGTTGGCCTTTAAGAAAGTCCTGAAAGGTGTTCATGCATTCCTCACAAGGTCCATTGTCTTCGGTGATGCCCCCTTGTGTTGGCTTTTTGCCCTTCCCTGTTTTATCCTGCTTGTCCCTCACTGCTGCTTCCCCACATTCCCTCCCCGGTGATATATCCAAATACACGTCCTTATGTGAGGCTCTTGCTTTCAGAGGAAAACCCAGACTAAGACACCTCTAAAAAGTTTCTGGGCTCAGAGTACTTTTACAGAAAATTACTTGAAATCCTCAGTGAACAGCTATTCTGCAAACCACGCAATGGGTTTTAGAACATAGAAAAGGATGAACAGTTTTCTAGTTTGTATTATATAACTAAATGATACTGATGCAGGACACATCAAAGGGTACACGAACACTTCTAGTTGAAAAAAACAACGAATGGTGTTTTGCTTAGCCAGACTCTTTCCTGTTTTAGCCAGATGTCTTCACCATTGGATTAAACTAAAATTTGTATGGGAAGTGGATGCCAGGAAATGTCAACAGTTCATTTGGTTCAACATGTACTAAATTTCTGTGTGCAAAGTATTTTGATACGTTCTGGAGAGGAATTCAAAGCAAACTGAGATCAGTATCTCTTGCTTTCAGTGAGCCTTTGATTTCTATACAAATGTGGCAAATAAACACAAGCTATATATTATAAAAACACTATCTGCCCAGCACCCCAGAGGAAAATACGATATGCCCTCTAAATTCTTAGTGTGGAGCTGAGGCATGTACATGTGGAATAAAATTAAATGATGGGAGAATTAAATGGTATGAGAGTTCCAAAAGAGATACATCTGAGCTGGAATGATTAGAGGAGACTTTTGGAGGAGGTAGGATTTGAAAAGGAAATTAGATAGGGATAAATGAAGAAGAGGTTGAATACATAATATAATGAACAAAGTTGCTATAACTGATACTGCAGATTGGCTCACTTAAAACCCACTCCTACCCTGTTTTAAATTCATTTGTCTTACTTTATTATAAAGACTATTAAGTTAAAACTACATTTCTCATCTTTTAGTTAGAATTCTTCATATGACATAGTTTATCTCCAACAGTCATCACCTCCAAGGTGTAAGGCTAGAAATAAGCAAAATGGGAAAGCAGTCATCTCATCACGGGGGTTACCAAAATGGGATTTGAGCAGTGGGATGGCAGCTTGGTTCTCTGGCCTTCCTGGAAGTTGTGTATGTCACCTGATGGCCTGTAGTAAATCCCTTACAGTTTGTGTTATCTGTAAGTATCTTTGCCACACAGGTGTTGTTAAGGCAATATTTTGAATGCCTTGAAAACACTGGCCTATCTATCTGGAACTTGTATTAGAATTGAGTAAGGTTGGTTAGTTTAGTTTATGATTTAAAATTTCATCAATCCTAATTGGATAGATGATAAAGCAAAAATGAGTGATTGCTGTAAAATTCTTTATATTTTAGTTATGTTTGAAATCTTTATAATAAAATATTGGGAAAATTAAGCCTCGTAGGAAGGACTTTAACTGCTTCAAGTAAGTTTGAATTTCCCTGAAATACTTCTGATTGTCTTTGCTAGGTATTGTTCTGAAAAATATTTACCAGTGATTTGAACGTTTCAGGCAAGATTCTAGAATGATTCATGGTTGGTACAAAGTATACAGACCACAGATTTAATAACATCAGATGTGCAAAAAAATTTTTTATATCAGCTGCTTTCAATATTAATGTATTAATTCTGAGTACAGAAACAAGAGTAAATATATACCAATTAAAATTTAAAGTAAGTAATAAATAGGCAAGCCAAAGGTAACATTTTATCTACCTACTAGTTTTTAAAGGATGGGGCAAAGTACTATCTTGAAAAGGCTTAATTTTTCAGTTTATACCATAAGCTTCATCAAACTATATCTACCCTGTCTTTATAAATCAGCTGTAAAGAAATAGTTACTGAATTAACTTCTATATGTATTATTTAGGAAGAAGCAGAAGAGAAATTGAGAAAACAGAAGGCGTTGAAGCAAAATTTTATGGAACAAATGGCCTTGAAGGAACTAGTCCTGCAGGCTGCAAAAGAGGAAGAGGAAGTCTTTAGAAGAGCTATGCTAGCGAAATTCGCTGAGGATGATCGAATAGAGTTACTGAATGCTCAAAAGCAGAGAATGAAGCAACTTGAACACAGGAGAGCTGTGGAAAAACTTATTGAAGAGCGTCGCAACCAGTTCCTTGCAGACAAAGTAAGGAAGAGTTTTTTTGGTTTTGTTTTGGTAATTATCATTGAAAAGCAATCAACTCATTTATTTATCCACTAAACATTTAACTGAGAACTGTTTATGTGCCAGATGATGTTAGATATCTGTTTACCGATCATATATTTTTTCTGACCAGTTGTTAATGCATCTGGAAAATATTTATTGATGCCTTCTTTGTGCTAGACATTTGTTGGCTTTAAGAACATAAAGATAAATATTACTAAGTTCTTGTCATCTTTGAGCTTATGGTCTTGGTTAAGAAAAGTACATAAAAACAGTGATAATAAAGATGGGTCAAGTGCCTGTGAGGATAATGATACAGATATGGACATCTTGGTGTGGCAGAAAGAAGACCGATTACGAATGCCCTGGCTGTTATTTTAAAGGTGGACTTTATCCAAGGGACCCACTGAAGAATTCAGAAAGGAATTCAGAAAGGAACTGCATTTGGACAGATGACTTGAGTAGCAGTGTAGAGGACAGATGCTGGGGGTGAGACTGGAGACAGGAAGCTCAGTACGGAAGTGATGACAGTGACGCCATGATGGGCGGTGAAAGCCCATGTGAATGGGGACGGGGTCTGTCTGAGATGTTAAGAAGGTAGAATTGATGGGGCTTGGTGACCAATTAGGTCTGGAGAGGGGAGAGAAGCATTAAATCTCCTACTAATAATGCTATTACCTACTTCCGTTTCAGTGAGTGGTGATGTCAGAGGGTGTGTACAAAGAAAAACAGATTTTTGAAGGGGTATATAATTTCATTTTGTCCACACTGATTTTGAGGCTCAAGGGCAGATTTCTTAGTTGGACGTGTGGATTTAAGAGCTGGTGAGGAAACTAGGTTTGTGACTTTGGACACATTGATTTGTCTATGTTTCATCTATAAAACTGAAATAATACTTTTATAATCTGCTTCACCAGATTGTTATGGTTTAAGAACCAAATGAGGTAATATGGAAAGGAAGTGTTTCGAAAAGATAAGTCTAAATATGAAAAGTACAGATGAGGCATATGGTTAATCTTTTAAAGTAATAGGAGTGGTAGTAAACAATAACATTTATTGAGCATTTTCATATGTCATTCACTATTCTGTACTCATTGCAAGCAAAATAATCAGTTTTAGCTTTCAACCCTGTGAGTAAGGTACTATTACTACCCCTATTTAAGGATGTGGAAACTGAGGCAGAGAGATTATTTATATAGTGCAAGGTTTCACAGCAAGTAAGCGGCAGAGCTAGGATTAATAAATTAATATTATCATGTTGATCTTTAACTGCATGGGTAGACAAAAAGAAATTCCAAGATGTTATAATCAACAGATGCTGATCTACTCGGCATTCTGTGGCTTCTAATCTAGCAGAAGAAAATAAGGCATAAATATCTTTTGGGCAAAAGACTCAATTATATGTACCACTATACTAAGAATATATTTTTGAAGGTATAGTGTAAACATTTACAGAATTTGGTAATGTACCGATTACTAATTGTGCAATTCATTTTGGCAGAACTATGTGAGTACACCTGGAAAAACACAAAAGATGAGTAAAAGAAGACAGAGGATGGCTATTTTAAGTTGGTAGCGTATGGAAATACCACATGGAGAAACCTGAATGATAGGCAGAGGAGTTTGGACGTGGATATGATACAGTATAGGCTGGTTATCATAATATGGTCTTTAACAAGACTAGAAAGTAGTAATTTAAGAGTGAAGTGATGAGGATCTGGAATAGGTTAACAGAGCAATGGAAGGAGAGAGAGAAAGGGAAGAGTTTAAATGGTTTTAAAGGAAGAAGAGATGAGACTTGCATGCTTTTTGGACCCTATTGGGTAGAGGAGAGAAAGGAGTCCAAGAACTCTCAAGGTTTCAAATATGAGAAGCTCAAGGAATACAAGTGCTATTATGTTCTGAGTTGGAGCCAAAAGATATAATGACTTCAGTTTTAGTCATACTGAGTTTGAAACAGAAATGCAAGTTGAAAAATCCTGAAGGCTCGGGCAACAGAAGAAAACATAGATCAAGTTTTCTTAGAAATGTATCTCTCTCATTAAGTAGCACAGAGTTTCAAACTAAGATGATTCCTGTAAAGAATATTTTATAATGAGAAACAGAGGGCCAGTGACTGAGTCTTGGAGAACATTCTAATTTTGGAGCTGACAGTAGGAGAAAAAAAACAAGACCAAGAAATGGTCAGAAAAAGGAGGCTCTGGATGTCGCAGAAACCCACAAGAGATCAGGTCTGTCTTTTGGCTTCTCCATGAAGTGTTGGGATACTTGGGGTTCAGTTTTTGGTTCTCCTTTGTGCTTAACTCGCACTGTAGTTCTGTTGCTAGATTGCCTGATGCCTAAAGGACATGGTTGGAAATCTTGTGGGTGCCTTAGAATTTAGGTTTCTAAAAGTGAACATAGCTGACAAACCTTTCCTAATTTCTGTAGCCAAGTCTTGGTTAAAGACAGGTTTGGGTGACTGAGTGAATATGCTATCACCTTGAAACCATTCCTGGATTTTTCCTCTTTCTTACCTAATAATTTTTAGTCAGCCACCAAAGTCTATTCATTCCACCTCAGCAATAACTCTTAAATCCAGTTTCTCACCTTCATAGTTTAATTCAGACATTCAGTGCCATTCTGTGGGCCACTGAAATTGTCTTCTAATTGGTCTTGTTACTCTAGTCCACCTGCTACCGGTTAACCATGGCCTTAAAAATCTCATTAAGTTCTCCTCCTGCTTTAAACCTAAGTGGATTCCTACTGGGTAAAATCTCAAATCCTTAGCTTTGATAGAAACCAGTTATGAAATACTCTAACCTTTAAAGGAGATAATTACCTGCAAAGCACCTAGCATTTTGCCTGGCAAGTGGTACATACTTGTTTTTTGAATCAGTGAGGGTGATCAGCATTGTCAGAGCAGAGTAACTGAGGAAACTGAAAATTTTGAAGGCTTTTGAAATTGACCAGAAGGCTTTAAATACTGCTTGCCTAGAAAGAGTTAGAGTCAGTGACTCAGACTGTCCTGTCTCGTGGCTTACAAGAGGTAATCAGAAAGCTCCTCAAAAAAGTTATCAAGATAACTATAAATGGGAGAAATCAGAAAATATTACCTAACGCATAGATAATTTAACAAGCAACTTGTCTTACTTTTTAAAAATTGTAAACATTCCCAATATGAAGCTGTGGACTTAGTTTTAAGTATCAGTATTGTAACATTTTTGTTACGGCCCAAGAGCAAGGATGGATTTTCATGCTCACAGAACTCATGAATCCATGCCATTACACAGTCCTATAAAGCTCTAACTCTAAAAAATAATCTATAATTATGTCCACCTCTAAAAAATTCATATGTTTAATCAGACAAAATCTGAAATGCCTCAGGAGGTATTTCCTACTAACAGAGCTATTCAGAATTTGTCCTGATGGACAAAATGGTTTCATACCTTTCTAGACTATTTACCCTAATTTACTATAAAAAATGTTTTTAGGATAAACAGTTAATGTGGTCTACCACATACTAAGAAGGGAAATCCTACATTATACCCAAGTTAGAGGCCATCATTGGACAAAAACCTAACAAGTGAGCTTTCCCCACAACACTATACCACTTTCTCGCACCTCTCTGTTAAAACGCGTAGATCAGTTAGGATGATGTCTGGCTACAAGTACAGTCTCAAAGCAACTGTGGCTTAGCAGACAGTTTACTCTTCCCTCATGTGAAAGTCTAGAGATTGGCAATCAGTAGAGGCTTTTTTCATAGTCTTCAGGAACGCAGGCTCCTCCTAGCTTTTTGCTTTGGTTTCTGTAGAATATAGCCCTCATCTTCATGGTTTAAATTGGATCTTCAACCTTCCTTTCCATGTTTTAGATGAAAGAAATGCAAAAGGATGTATGTAAGACTGATTCCTAGAAACTACCATGTGACACTTTAGCTTATATTCCACTGGCAAAACCTAGGCCTGTTGTGACCACACTTGAGCGTGAACAAGCCTTAGAAACAGTCTTAGTCATGACAGTTCTATGGCAGATCCCATTACCCTTTTTCATCTTAGAGATAAAATAATTAAGAACAACTCAACCTTTCAATTCAGTAGCAAGATGGGTGTGAGTGTAAAAAGTCTTTTCTCAATCAGCTGTCAATGCTGCTTCTGATTCTGTAATACAAATACATCTGAGATGATGATAGTAGGAAAAAATATTCTCATAAGAAGCAATTCCGGGTTTAACTGGCATTGGATATAGCTCTGTCTTCATTTAATAACTTTAGAGTGTTATTAGGTTATATAAAAACTTGCCTCTCATTGTAGCAAAAAAAAAAGACAGACATCCTGCTTTCTGATTTATGTGACTTAAACTAGTTATTTCAAAGAAAAGTTTAGCATTAATACTACTTTAACTGAAATAATTCTTGGCAGAAATTCATCACTATTTCAGTGGTCTGGTCGGCCTTTAGCTCCTTCCCTATCCAACAGGACTATTTAGATACATTTCCGTAAGAGTTCTTTTAAGCCCTGAAACACTGAAGCTAGTCATCTCTTCCATATTTACAATGCACAGAATTTTGGTGTGGTTTTCTATCAGAATTCTTTCCTGAGAAATACTGTTTCTCCTTTTAGAACTTTTGCTGCTACTTTTGTGTTTCGTACAGGCTTTAAAAACAATATGTATGGAAATACTTACTTTTAGATATCCCTATTCTGTTTAATCCACCCTTTTTTGTCTTACACTGTTAAGCTGTCTTCAGCACCTGGCATATGGTAAGCATTTAATAAATATTTGTTGAACTAATTGAGAAATCATTTCTTTGAACCATTTTTCCTTGGTCACAAAGATATTGTCCTGAAAATATGTACTTGCCTCTGTAAAATCCTAGTCATAGCTATTTCTCTCATAACTCTAGAGGAATAGTGACTGTAAAAGATACATATATAACATACATAAAAGATACATATATTATCTGTATCAGTTTAATTTACTGCAAGTAGTTGTTTTGACAAATTCTTAAAAGATTAATGTGTTTTGTGACAATACAATAAATTTTATTTACATTTTCAGCAACGTGAACTGGAAGAATGGCAGCTGCAGCAAAGACGACAAGGATGTATTAATGAAATTATTGAAGAAGAAAGACTAAAACTTCTCAAAGAACATGCTACAAAATTACTAGGCTATCTACCTAAGGTAAGTGAGATTTAACTTATAACCTCGAGTAGTGGGAAAAAACCAGGATATTAGGATTTCAGAGGGCCTGGGTTACACTTGCCTCCTGCTGTTACAGAGCAGCAGCATGAGGTGGACCAGTAACGGAGCATCTCCAGAATGAGAGAGTTGGTCTTGGCACATTCTTATACGTATGAGCTGGAATTACTGCATCTCAATTTTAGATGTTCTTTTCTCCTCTTTCAGTGTAGGAGGTCTAAAACTAAACTACCTTACAGCAGTTGTGACACTGTCTGATGATGTACAGGAAAACCTTGTCACTGGTAACACCAGTAACAGACACATGCTTGACCTGAGTCTGAGGCAGATCTGCTATACAACAGGTTACGTTTTAACTGGGTAACCTGTTTTTAAAAATACTTCCAAAAGATGATGGCAAGTTTTCATGTGTATCTGAAATACATTATGACTATAAAAATAACTGAGTTTCACAGGCCACATAAACATCTGGACTCATATAACAAATTGCCATCCTTCAAATATAGAAATTATGCCATTTGATACTTTATTCAATCAAAAGAATCAAGTGTATATTTAGTTCAGTACAAAGGAAGGAAGGAGAAAGAGAACTGAGTAATTATTACTTGTCTATAGGATGTTAGTCTAATTAGATAGGATTAATAAATACAAAATGATGTATTAATGACAAAAGCCATATGGAATTGATTTTTCTTACCTTTTATTTTTTAACATTTTTTATTGAGTTATAGTTATTTTATAATGTATCAAATTGGAATTGATAAATTTCATAATATACACTATAAATTTCAGGAGAGCCTGAGGTTTAGGTATTTGTGAAGCAAAATAATTTCGGAAGTGGAGAGGGCGTGATAATCTAAAATGATTGTATCCTTTAGGTCCTAAGGGCTTCAAATGACTTAAATTATTCTTTGGATTCTTTAGATAAGTAAATATTTAATTTTGTTTTAAAGGGATTAAAAATTAATTGGTTTAACTCCAAATCTAGATTCTCTTCTGCAAGATTGAATGTTTGCTGATTAGACATAGAACTGAGCCAAGAGCCAGTGCCATGCCTGAATCTGGCAAAGCTCAATCTCTTCACCCTGACCGCCCTCACACACACTGTAGAGCGGCTTCAAAACAAGGGTAGGGGGTACATTATGGATTAAATTACTTCTCATGCAGCCCATCCAAGCAGCAGTACTTGTAATAAAGCAGAAGAGCCCAGATTCCTGTAAGTTCTAACACATGGTCTGATAGATCAGGAAATCAGGTCAGTCCAAGAGTATTCAGTAAATAATATTTATCAAGTCAATTATACATTAAATAGATTTCATTATCTTGGAGATAACCTTACAAGCTTCATGTCCATATATCTTTTGGTCTTACATTTAGTGAAATATTCTGGCAGAGTAATACATAACATATTTTTCTTGTAGGGAGTATTCAAAAAAGAGGATGATATTGATATGCTTGGTGAAGAGTTTAGGAAGGCGTACCAGAAAAGGAGTGAAAATTGTGAAGAGAAGTGATACCAAGATTTGGTAAAATCTTACTCTTGAATGTTACCACTAGATGTCAGTGTAATTTTTGTTTTCCAGCTCAGTGAGAGTAGGAATCCATTGTCTCTGGATTTTCTAAAACATCTTTGATTTCATGATTTGTAAACAGTTATCTATAAGAAAACATTTGTTTTCTGATAAAAATTAAATTACTTGAGTATATTTTAACTGCAAAGTTAATTACATTTAATCAAACTATTGTTTTTGTACTGATAATTTGAAGATCTGAGTTCTAAACCAAACTCCATATCATAGGCTAAACCCAGGAGACTGACCTCTCCATACCACTTTTGTCTCTGTGTTTAGGAACTTTACTTCCCTGATTTGGCCAGGGAAATCTTTCCCTGTCCACTGTACAGTAGAGAGAAAAGTAAAGGGGAATTTTAAAGTGCTTTATTACCTAATGCACTTAATTGTCAGTAAGAATATAGAAACAGACTTTCAGATAAACACCATTCACAAACTAGAGCTAAATCTCTAGAACATAAAATATTCTACTCAGAAGAAGTTGACAATGGCTAGAAGGTCATAAGAGCGATAACAGAATCAAAAGTTAAACTCCTGTTACTTTGTTTTACAAGATATTTTCTAATAATTAGATATCAATTTTGTATACCCAAATTTAAATAGGAAATTTGGAATTATTTTGATTTCATTATCAAATATCTTCATTACATGTAAAAATAATTCAAACCATTAAAACTTAAAGGGTATATATATCCACCACATACTGTAGGCGAAAAGTAGATCACTTACTAATTTCCCCATTCAAGTGCCTTTATAAACTCTTCTTCAGTGAAAGACAACATCTTAGCAGCTTCAATATGCATCTGTTAAAAAAAAATTGTCTAGTATTAAGAGTAGACAATAGAACAAGAAATCTGTTAGTGTGTGTAATATGTTATCAAATTGTAGGTTTTGTTACAGGAATGTGTAACTAATTCCAATCAACATGGTATTTGAAATAGTAATTGCATTAATGGTTAGCCTCAAAAAGCCTCTGGCAGCATTGTACCAACCGTTTGAGAGAACAGTTCTAACCTTTGCAAACAGGGACAGTGGCAGAACCCTGAATTCATCTCTCTGACCACTAGGTAACTTGTGTAGTGAATGCGACAAAAGTGGTTTGGAATCAGTTTTCACTCTTCAAGATTTCAAGAGGCAAACTGATCCCCTAGGATAAGTTATTTTTGTATATGATATTTTCTTTACCCTACTTCCACATTACTAATTTACTTGCATCTGTATATAGATAAAATGTTGTGACTAAGCATGTCAAAATAAAAATACCTTAAGTAGAAATACTCAATATCCTCAGTAGAAAGGTCCATATAATACCTAAGATTTATTTAAACTTTTTCAGGTTAAACTCACCTTCTGCCTTTTTAAAATATCAATTAATTTTAATTGTTTCTTGAACCCTATCATTAATTCTCCTTTTTGTTTTTCTAGCTTCTTGTTTTCTGCTTTTAACATTTCAATTTTTTTGTGTTCTTCATTTGCTACATCCTGCAAAAGGGAAAAAAATTCTCATGCATTCTTTGTAGTATTTTAATGTAAAACATCACATCAGCAATAAAAACTATTTAGTTTTTGTATTATAAATTACTACAACTTTGATAACTTAATGATGTTCACACCTCTAGCATGTTAAGAACCGCCTTAAAATAACTCAGTTCTAATTTCAATAATGCCAAAATAGCTTATATTGGAAGGTGTGATGAATAATCAGTAGTAAGCAGAAACTGGAAGCATACTGGTGGAGATCCACATGCAGCTGGCTTCTGAGAGCACTTTTCAGTTCATGGGTTCACAGTGGATACACCTAAAGCAAAAAGTACCAGTCTTACTAGGCTGAGGAATTAGACATCAGGGCTGCCACGGGGGTAGAAATTTCCAGGTAGGAAATCCCTCAAAATTTGCAGACATAGTTCCTGCAAATCCTTGGCAGACACCTAAGAAATACGTGCAGGGTGAGCGTCCTGGGAGCCCAGGAAAGTCAACAGCTGTGGTCTGAAGAGCTGAGCAGAGAATCTAGCCACTGCCCATGACAACGAAGAGTTTGTAATCGTGTTAAAAATTAATTGGGTGAGCTCTGCAGCAATTTGAACAATGGAGAAAAAGGACTGGTAAACTTTAAGGGAGATTAGCGTAAGTTATTAAGTACAGAAAGATCTTGTACTTGGAAAAATAGTCTTTCATGTAAAAGGGAAATGATATCAGAAGGAAATATGAATCTATATATGCACACACATAAAAAAGAAAAGTATCAGAAATAGTAACATGTGGTAAACATCAGTATTTTTTCTTTAAAACAATCTCTGTAAAAGATAATTGAGAGTAGCTTAGATTTTGTTGCCAAGATGACAGAGTAGAAAGACTGAGCTCACCTCCTCCCATGCGCACACCAAAATTATTATTTACAGAGAACAAATACTGATGAGAAAGACTGGAATCCAAACTAAAGATGTAAAGAAGGAACCACAAAAGACAGGTAGAAGAACCAGAGCTATGGTATCTTCAAGACCGACACTCCCAGGTGGGCAGCCCACAAACAGAAGGACAATTACAACTGCGGAGATTCTCCCCAGGGAGCAAGGGGCCTAAGCCCCCCCTGAGCCCTGCACTGGGAAGACAAGCTCCCACAGCATTTGGCTTTGAAGGTCAGTGGGGCTTACTGTCGGGAGACCCAGAGGGCTGTGGGAAATAGAGACTCCACTCTTAAAGGGCACACATGAAATCACACATGCTCCAGGACCCAGGGAATTTCTGAAAGGAACCTCGGTCAGACCCACCAAGGGACAAGAGGCAACTGAAGCTTATCCTGAGGCTGTAGACATTGGAAGTAGCCATTTTAGGGAACCCATTCTACCCCATGGACATGGTGTTGCAAGCACCATTGCGGCCTCTAGCTTATAATTAGCGCCAGGACACTGCCCCACCCACAAGCATGTCAGCACCAGCCCGACAAGCTTCAGGCTAAGCAACTAGCCGGGTGGGGACAAAGCCCCACCTGCCATCAGCAGGCAGATTACCCTTCAGACCCTCTGAGCCTGCAGCCACCGTGGAACACTGCCCTTCCCACCTGAGGGCCAGGACCCTGCTCCACTCACAAGTGCACAGGCCCCTGCAGCCAGATACCTTGGGACCCAGCCCCACCCACCAGAGGGCTGACCCCAGCCTAGGACCACCTCAGCCCTGCAGTCCCATGGCAGGATCCAGCCCACTCACCAGCACTGGGGACCGCCCCCCTGGCCCCAGCCCCACTTACCAGTAGCCCAACACAAACTTCGGGACACCCTGGATTCTACATCCAGCTGTGTCAGGAGCTGGCCTTGCCCACCAGCCAACCAAAATCAGTTCTAGGACTCCTGGGCCCCGCAGCCAGAGATCCCAGGACCTGGCTCCACTCACCAGGAGACAGAACCAGCCCCAGAATTCCCTGGGCCTGGTTCAGCCCACCAGCAGGCCAACAGTAGTCCTGAGACACTTTGGAACCCTCAGCCAACTGCCCTGGGATCCAGTTCCACCCACCAGCAGGCCGACACAAGCTTCACAATACCCTGTACTTGGAGCCATCTGTCAGGAACTGATCTCACCAGCAGGCCAAAACCAGCTCTGGGACTCTTGGGCCCTGTAGCCAGAGACCACAGGACCTGGCTCTGCCTGCCAGTGGACTGTCACTAAGCCCAGGATTCCCTGAGCCCCAACCCCACCCGCCACTGGGCAGACACCAGCCCCAGGATCACCCACAGTACTGCAACCTGCCATGCCAGGACCCAGCCCATTTACCAGAAGGCTGACAGCAGCAAAGACACACTGTGCCAGCGGGGAGAGGGAAGAGGGGGTGGGTAGGACACGGAGGAGCAGGGGATTTAGATATATGAGCTACTATGTATAAAATAAATATGCTACAGAGTTACACTGTACAGAACAGAGAATATAGCCAATATTTTATAGTAACCTTAAATGGAGCATAATCTATAACAATTTTGAATCACCTGAAACTAATACTGTCAATCAACTGTAGCTCAAAAAAATATATTAAAATGATAATAGAGAGTGATGTCAGCAAGATGGCAGATTAGGAAACTCGAGTCCCTTGTTCTCCCAAGAAACATCCATGGAAACACTGATGTACAATATACAGACCAATGTAGCACTGTGAGGATTCTAAAACCAACTTAGCAGCAGCAACCAATTAAACACATAACCAAGAAAAAGCCATATTCAAAATGGTATGAAGTTTCATGGCACTTACCTTTTCCCCTCACCCTCTAGACCAAGTAGAAGGAAGCCCCAACCCATGGCTTTTTCCTCAGGATGCAAATAAAAGAGTGGAACTTGCTTGTGGCATTCTGACTTGTCTTAGGTCTGCCTGAGTGGTTTATGTCTCACCTGACTCAGAGCACTGACGGAATGGTGGCATAGTTTAGATATCTGGCTGGAGGCTCCTGAAAGCAGGGGTGGGCACTGTTGCACATGAGAACTGCAAGGAGTCTGCAGAACCATGGGAAACTAGTGTCAAGAGACTATGGGCAGAGGAATAAAACACAATACCTAAAGCCCTGAGAAGCAGCAGGACTGAGACCCTTTGGGAATTAAGACCCTTAAATGAGAGACGAAAAAGCTTTAAGGCATATAGAAAACAATGAACAAAATGGCAATAGAAAGTTCTTTCCTATCAGTTATAGCTTGAAATGTAAATAGACTAAACTCCCCCAAAATGTGAAAAATGGATTAAAAAACAAGGTCTAACTATATTTTGTCTATAAGAGACTCAATTTAGACCTAAGGGCACACAGACTGAAAATGATGGAATGGAAAACGAACCTCTGAAAACAGTAACCAAAAGAGAATAGGGGTGGCTATAATGTCAGACAAAATAGACTTTAAGTTAAAACAGTTACAAGATACAAAGAAGGACATTATAAGGGTGAATTCACCATAAGCTATGGCAATTATAAATATACATATGCACCAAACATCAGAACTACTAAATATATGACACGAACACTGACAGAATTAGTGGGAAAAATAAATAACTCTACAATAATAGTATGAGACTTCAATACCCCACGTTCAATAAAGAATATAGACAGAAGAACTACCAGACAGAAGATAAGGGACAAGTACTTGAACAACATTATAGACCAACTAGACCCAACAGGCATACAGAACATTCCACCCAACAGCAGTGTAACAGTGCACATGGACCCACCTCCAGAACAGATCATGTGTTAGGCCACAAACAAGTCTCAGTAAATTTAAAAACAGTGAAGTCATGCAAGGCATCTTTTCTGTTCACAGGGGAATGAAACTAGAAATCAGTAGCATTAGGAAAATCCAAAAATAGGTGGAAATTGAACAACATACTCAAACAACCAATGAGTTAAAGAAGAAATCACAAGAGAAATCAAAATATCTTTGGACAAATGATAATGAAAACACAACATACCCAAATTTAAGGGATGCAATGAAAGCAGTTTTAAAGAGGAAATTTACAGCTGTAAATATTTACATAAAAAAGATCTAAAATCAACAACTTAACTTTACAACTTACAGAATTATAGAAAAAGACTAAACCCAAAGCTGAAAATAGGAGACAATAAAGATTAGAGCAGAGTCAGTGAAATAAAGGATAGAAAACCAGCAGAGAAAAATCAGTGAAACCGAGTTGGTTCTTTGAAAAGATCAACAAAATTGACAGAATTTTACCTAGACTAAGAATAAAAGAGAGAAGAGTCAAATATCTATTATCAGGAATGAAAGGGGACATTACAACTGATTTTACAGAAATAAAATTGTAAGTAGAAGAGGAGGCATTGCAAGTTCATAAGAGAGTATCATGATAAATTGTACACCAAAAGTTGGATAACCTGGATGAAATGGATAAATTCCTAGAAACTCACAACCTACCAAACCAAATAATGAAGAAACAGGAAAATCTGAATAGACCTGTAACTAGTAGGGACTGAAGGAATAATCAAAATCTCCCAACAAAGAAAAGCCACAGACCAGATGGCTTCACCCGTGAGTTCTACGAAACATTTAAAGAAAAATTAATACCAATCATCCTCAAGTTCCTCCCCCTAAAATGAAAAGGACAGAACACTTCAGTCTATGAGGCCAGTAATAATTTGATACGAAAGCCAGACAAAGACACTGCAGGAAACTACAAACCAATATCCCCGAGAAATACTGATGCGAAAATCCTCAACAAAATAATAGCAAACCGAGTTCCACAACACGTAGGAAGGATTATACCCAATGGCCAAGTGGGATTTATTTGTGCAATGCCAAGGATGAACATGAAAACCTGTCATTTTAACACCCCACATTAACAGAATGAAGGGGGAAAAAACAACACTCACATGATCCTCTCAATTGATGCACAAAAAGCATTTGACAAGATTCAACACTTAAACATGATAAAAACACCAAACAAGGAACAGAAGGATTCTACTTCAATTCAAGATTCATGATAAAAGCCATCTATGAAAAGCCCA